AGAAGGGAAGGCAATTTGATAAAGGAGCCTGCAAAGTTGTTCCACTTCATTGGAAGCTGCAACAACAGCTTTGTTAGAATAAAAGAATATGGGTTTATCAAAGATATTCACTGCTTTACTGGGACTTAGATCAGAGGCTTGATATTATAGAAATTTAACTTTGTACTGTTTGCAACTTGGTTTTTCTAAAAAATTTCCTTCTGAAAATAATAACCTATTTAGTCTGTTCTATCGGAAAACAAGGAAAAATTTTTTTTCTGTACTCTAACCAACACTTCTGACACCAAATGTGTGGGTGTTTTTATACCAAGCATTTTTTCAATTCTTGGAGGATACCAACTGGGTGTCTTACAGTTTAACTCAGTTCTGACACTAACTGCCCTGAGTTAGTGCAGACTCCACAGGTTAAGGGCTCAGCCCTATAAGACTGTCCCCCACTCTGACTTGAGACACAACCGAAAGCCCAGGTTATCACTAGTGTTTCTGACAATCAACTCTAATTTGGAGGCCCCCACCACCATCTCCTCAGGTTCATAATTTCCTAAAGTGGTTCACAGAACCCAGGAAAAGATTACTTACTAGATTACCGGTTTATTACAAAAGAATAGGACTCAGGAGTAGCCATATGGAAGTGATGCCTAGGGCCAGGTTTGGAGGAAGGGGCACAGAGCTTCTGGGACTTCTCAGGGTGTGTAACCCTTTCAGCACGATGAACCCCTTGGTTAGTTTTTCTTTGCTTTTTTATTTTTTTGATGGAGGCTACATTATATTGGCATGACCGATTAAAAAATTGACTGTTGGTGACTGAACTCAATCTCCATCCCCTCTCCCCTATCTGGAGATAGTAGGGAGAGGGGTATTGGACTTAAAGTTCCAGTCCTCTAATCACATGACTGGTTCCCCTGGCAACCAGCCCCCACTGTTAGGGGCTTTCCACAAGTCAACTTTATTAACATAAACTCAAGTGTGGGTGTGTGGGGGAAGAATAAATATTTCTCGATTTTCCTAGCTTCTTCTGGAAGGTCTAATAATCAAATAGATATTAGACAGATTAACAAAGGGAAAAATAACCCAATCTAATTATATACATACACAGGGGAACCTCATATACATGAGAGAGCCAGAGACTCCTCATACATGAGAAGTTCAGAGACAGAAAGAAAAATGAGATATATATGTATGACATTTTGAATTAAGGATGAGACAAAGTGCCTTGGGGCTTCAGAGATGAGGAAGGTCATTCATTCTCAGGGGAATAAGAAGAACAGATGTGCCATGATTAGCACTTTGTCCTGCCCTATAGATAAGTCATAAAAAGTTATTTCTGGTTATGACCCTTATGATGGGCAAGGCCCTTAATATAACTTCTTTAAGGGAGAGGTAAAAGTTTCTTGTGAACCCTCAGGGTCTTGCTTGCCTTCAGCTCAAAATAATTCACATGCCCAAGTGGTACATCTTGAGGAGGCCTGCCCTGAACTCCTTAGGTTGAAAGGGGTGTATTGTGAATACAAAAGATGCTCCTTTCATCTTTGTTGCTCTGCAGCTGTCTCAGGAACTGAAGAAAAAACCCAAGTATTATAACAAAAGATTGCTCTTAGGAAAATTACATGGGATTTAGGAACTCTGTGCCAGGAGCCAGGGATGAAGACCAAATATATATTTCTTACGATATTGCAATATCATATAAGGAAAGGGGATTTTGGCTACACTGCAGCAAAAAAAAAAATAGTTTAAAAGGTGGAGCTGTTATATGCAATAGTAGAGACAAGCAAAAGGAGGGGTCTGAAGGAGAAGGTGAAAATACAAGGGGGAAAAAAATTGGAAAAGAGATGAGACTCTTCTTTCCCATGCAGAGATGTTGTTTAGAAAAGTCATTTTCTTTGGAGGATTTGAGTTTCTTTTGATAAAGAATGTCATTTTTTACTGTAGAGAGGCATACTATAAAGTCATGGCCTTTGCTTATAAGGGGACTCTCTTATTTCTTCATTTTCCCATTGTTTTATAATATTAGGTATTGAAGGGTAGCAGAACATGCCACCCCAAAACATGCCACTTTAGCATAAGAATTATTTTGAGATGAAGGCAATTGAGAAGAAGCAGGTTACAAAAGCTCTCTGCTCTCCTCCATTTGCCTAAAATTCAGCTGTAAATTTGCAAAGGTGTTCGGAAGGTACCAGAGGAATCCATCTAACAAACTTTACTAACCCTTACTTTTCATTAGTTCCCCTCATATATTTGTTCCCAGTTTGCTGTCCTAGAAAATTAAAGTCCTTTTTCTTTGTTTTGTCACTTCTCTAAAAACTCATTGATTTTTTTTTGTTAAGGTGTTACATGATCTCAAGTTCTAAACACCCTTTTGACTTACTCATAACAGTGATCTCGTCTATTTGTGCAATGCACGTTAATAAACTTCTTTTTGTTTTTCTCTTGTTAAATTGTCTTTTGTCAGTTTAGTTTACAGGGCCGATGAACCTAAGATGGGTAGAGATCCCACCAGGGATCGAACCCACAACCTGGGCATGTGCCCTGACCGGGAATCAAACTCATGACCTTTTGGTCTAGGGACAACACTTCAATCAACTGAACCATACTGGCCAGGGTTCCAGTGTCATCCTTTGTATGTCCAAAATATTGGGGCTATGTGGTTTGGCCAACCTTTACTTATTCAGAGAAATAGAAAAGGCAGAAATAGTTACCAGGATTAATAATAATAACAGCAAATCCTTACTGGACAATCACTGTTTTAAGTACTATGCTACAAGCTTAATGCTTAACATATCATTTAGTCATTACAACATTCCAGTGACCTAGGTATTGTCATTTCCAGCTTATAGAAAAGGAAAATGAGGCTGTCATACTAACCTGTCCTAGATTAGATCACTACTAAACAGCAGAATCAAGGCTCAAATCCAGGACCATCTGATTGTAGAGGATGTATTCTTATCCACTACTCTGGACATGAATTTTTACTACTATTCTGATTTAAACTATTGAAACTGTTTAAACTTCTGAAACATGAGTATTAGCAATTTCCTATTGATCTATCAAAAATGTTTCAATGATTATAGAATCACAAACTGAACACATAATAAGACATGTTCTTGCTGTTTTAAGTAGTCCAGAGAAGTTTTAGCTCATTTTATTGCTGTTTGACTTTGCAGGTCTCAGAAAAGAATGCATTCTGTAGGTGAATTTGATGTTTTTTGTATCTTCTACTTTCCCGTTTTGGGATTTCCTGTGGGGATGCTAATGATGATAGTTGCTGTGGATCAAAGGCTCACAAAACATAAGGGAGAAACTGCTGGAAGGAGCCTAGTTGACCGAATGGAATCTCCCCATAGGAATCTGCTCCTTGAATGATTAAAAAGTATCAGCCTAGCCTTTAAAGTGTGAGGCTAATACTGGTGAGGAAGCTATCCTCCTACTTGCTGATGAAGCAGGGAGAAAGCTTCAGCTTATCAGAGAAACTTCCGATTCTTGCCATATTATATTGAAATAGAAAGCGGCCTGGTTGTCCACTTGCCCCCCTCCCCTGCAACATCAGAGAATTTAAGCTGAACTTAAATTCATACAGCAGTGCAAAACCTCTGTGGGTGTAAATATAAATATATCTCTTCAAACAGACTGTATAGCTTTCTGAGGACATGAGTTATTTTTCTTCTTTCCAGAACTTAAGGCTTTGCCCACAACTGAAATCAGTACCTTAGTTGATGCTGATAGATTTTTTCCAGTCTAAACACAATAAAAAATGAAAATGAAGGAACGCTGTCATTCACTTGTTATAGGCATTTTTCTTGAGTACCTAAGATAGCTCTAAGTTATTAAAAAGCGGAAAAACTACCTGGTTATGTGTGACTTGCAGCTGAAAGGTGAGATGAACTAGGTCTGGATGATCAAATTCACGTGAAACCAAACGGGCAGTGAAAGCCAAAAATTAAAGCGGAGCTTATTTTGTAAAAAAGTTAAAACGCTAAATATAGTTACTCCTACTTGTTGAAATACAAAACCTTAAAACTTTAGTTTCCTCTATAATACGAGTTGTAGTGGATAGAGGTTGAACCTGGCAATGGTCTTGCGAGATGTTCAGCACTGACATCCTGGGATATTACCTACACGGTGTTCAAGAGGCCTGCTTAAGAGTAGACCGCCGTTAAACTGCGTTTATTTTACTCTACGCAAGTTAATCAGCTGTCCCCGCCACCCTCCCCCACTCCCCCAACTCTCCGGCCACCTGGGTTCATTCTCTCTCCCATCACCTACTCTTTTACGACTGCAATGATTTCGCCGGGAAGTACCTAAAACTTAGACAACCTGAGGCCCGAGAAGGTGCCCAATAAATGTTTGCTGAATGAATGAATGCCTGTGGGCTTAGGTTCTATCTCACTTACTTGTAAGCAACCTCCGGGCCGGATCCCAAGGCCTCAGAGACCTGTAGATGTCAAGCTCGGTCCCTCCCTACGCACCGCACCTTCCTACTCCAATAACTACTTTTAAACTAGAGCCTGCGCATTGATTCGCCGCAGTGGTTTTCACTACGGATGAACTAACCTAACTTGCTCTAATGATCGGGGACAGGCATTTACTGTCACAACCCTTAACTGAGTTAGGGCCGAGCTGGTACTGAACCTGTGGGAGCGCCAGGCTTCGATTCAAAAGAGAACCAGTTAGTCTTTGAGGACGTGGGTGGATCAGAGAAAGCCGGAACCCTTAAGTAGCTACGCGGTCCGCGGTAAAACCTCTCCTCTTCTTCCGTCTACAGTTCCTTGTTGCCAGAGCAACTGTGAGCGTCACTAACGTGACAGCAGTAATAGGACAGAAAAAGTACACGTCTCCAGCCTGCCAGAAATCCAGTGCGCAGGCGCATTAGCGTTTTTTGGTTGTGGTTCTCCTGTACACGTATTGTGCGTCTGCGCATTAGTTGTTTCGCGCTTTGGCCCACCTCTACGCCTGTGCAAATTGGCCAATCAGGGAGGGCGGAGCTGCGTTACTGGGGTGCGCATGCGCAAACGCTACATCCGTGTGGTGGTCAAGTTCTCTGGGAGTTAGCGGAGCTCAGGTTGGCGTATCTTTTTTGTAGTCATGTCGGCCTCAGTCATGTCGGTCGTCTCGCGGTTCTTAGAAGAGTACTTGAGCACCACTCCTCAGCGTCTGAAGTTGCTGGACGCGTACCTCCTGTATATACTGCTGACTGGGGCGCTGCAGTTCGGTTATTGTCTCCTCGTGGGGACCTTCCCCTTCAACTCTTTCCTCTCGGGCTTCATCTCTTGTGTGGGGAGCTTCATCCTAGCGGGTAATGATTCTATAAGTAATCGCAGTAATAATGTGTTACTTAGATGTGCTGCGTTTATGCTCACAATGCTCTTTATATCAGATCACCCCCTCGTGAAGTTATGAGGGGAGCCTGCATTGACCTCTTTTTGTGAATAGGGACATTGAGGCTCCGAAAGGTTGTCACAAACCAAATACCAAACAACCGCCTAGAAGCTAAAGTTAAATCTATAAAGAAACTACCTTAATGTTGCTGCTCACCCTGGAGATCCACTTCACTTCATATTGGTCCAGGGAAAACGCCAATTCCAGCTTTCACTTTAACACCCTTTGGAAGTTGGTAGACTTTTAAAATGGAAAACCCAACTCAGAAGCATCTCTTTCACCTTGGACCAATCATTACTAACCTCCGTTGAAACGTTTCAACGAACAGTGTAAGAATTATAAATATGGAGCTTTGCTTGTTGAATCATCCTTTGTTTGATTGACTTTTAACTGTTCTTACTTTTTTCTTGTGGATGAAGATGTTATTTAATTATCCTGAACAAAGTTTCTATTCACATAATTCTGTTTTAGCTGCATTATCCTTTCTGATTCTCAGCATTTGATACACTGGAGACTGCCATATTTAACGAAAGCCGATTGTTCCCATAGATTTTTGCCAAAAAATCTGACCTTCCTCAACAGGGATTCGATGAATACTGAGTCAGCTGAGTCAGGGAGTGTTGGCCAGTCCACTTTATATTTTATAAGTGGCCACTACGTGGATCTTGCCAGTCACTGGTATAGCTTGTTCTGTGAATTTAAAAACATGCCGGGATTCATGTTTTTTTTTTTTTTTTTTTTTCAGCGTGACCATTATCATTCAGGCTAGCAATTGTATTTTGAATCTAATCACATTGGTCCACCAAAAGCTGTGGGGATATGTAACATGGTGCAACCAAGAGGAAGGCCCCAAACAGGGATTTGGAATGAGGTCCAGAACTCAAGGTGTCCAGGAAATATTGGAAAGATACATAGGATATCCTCACCCCTTACCCCCACAGGTGTGACTTGGGGGAAGGGACACATGGAGCGGGGACATGCAGAGCTGTTTTGTACAGCTACTGTTTTGCAGTTAACTTCTGGCATGGTCATTTAACATATCTATAACCTTTAACTGGTTTCATAGATACGTTAAATAGCTGTGGCCATTCTTTGAGCCAGGGAGATGGAATGAACTTCCACCCAAGATGTAACTGGGGGGCAGCTCCCCTTGATTACAGTGTCTGCGTGAGAGCTTGGAGAAGATTGGCTCCATGACATGGGGTCACACCTGCCCAGACTCAACGATGGCAGCCCAGTAAACTTGGAATAATACAGGAATGCTGGCAGGTGTAACTGATTGTAGGAGTCAGAAATGGGGGTGCAGAGGAAGGTTGGTGCAAGGATTTAAACACAGACTCGGCAGCCATGTGGGGAGAGAACCATTCGGTTTTGGCAGAGTGGGGACCCCCGCAGCTTTGGCAGGGAGAGAACCACGTGGCTTTGGGGTGATCCCTTTTGCCACGTGGCTTAGGAAGCAGGAGAGATTTTGCCTGGAAGAAAAGGGGTGAAAGGACTCTTGCTGGTGGGCCATGAGAAGGTGCCATATGGCTTTGGATTAGCTGGAGATCCTGGCGGTAACACAGCTGATGGTGCCGGGAGCCTGAATCACTGACTTCTACTTTTTTTCCTGAAATACGGTACCCCAGATTAGGGCAGGGAGAGAAGGAAGGACTGTGTGCATCTGTGGGTATCCTAAAGGACTTTAATATTTTAATGAAGACATTAGGTCACTACTTTAAGTTTGTATAGCTTTAAAGAAACATTTCCTTTTCACAAATCTCTGGCATTGAGAGACGTCTTTCCTTTGGCGGCGGGCATAGTGAACCTAGTGGGGGATCCTTTCAGAAATAGTATATCGTACCCTCCCTTGGCCCTGGTCTGTAACAGATACATCAAGTATGTGTTTACTGTTCAACACTAGTTTACAGTCTGGTTGGGACACTGACAAAATATAGCTGTAAAATGGTCTGGAGACTTCATTTACAGTAGAGACTTCATTACAGCTTTAAATTATGGATCTATTGAATGCTTTAAATGCACTCAAATTGCTAGTTCAGACTTAGATACACTACCTTCTTTATTTCTCAGAACTTAAACCTAAGGACTTGATGACTTGTGAACTAGCCTGTTGATCGGATGGGTATTTCATTATCTTTGAATTTCGACTTAGATGACCAAGAGCCTTTTCTCTGAGGCAGCATTTTGGCCTTCAGGAGTTGATACAGTGCCATCTTCAGATGCACCAGACACCCCCCTCTCTTTGCTAAAGGCTCTCCTTCCCCTTCCCCAATACTGTTCACACAGGAAATTTCTGTTAGTCAGACAGGAAAAGGAATCCTGAGAAGCAGTGCTCAAATCTGACTTTAAAAATAGAAGACATCTCCATACTGAAATCACTCTGGCTTCATCAGCTTCTAGGGTTAAAATGATGCCTCAGGGCTATGTGGAAGCCTGTGGTACGCTGAAGAGTGGGTGTGGACTAGAGTTGTAGGTTATTAGTATGTTAAAACCAATTTTTTAAGCAGAAAACTTTTCCTTATGCCAAGTTCTGTTTTTGAGGCTGTTGTGGCTAAAGGAGAGTTGACAGATTCCCTTCCCTCTAATGAGAGAGAGGTCCATGGATCGAGGACAAGGCCAACAGTGGAGTCTGCTTAGGGGGATGGGGATATCCAAAGCTGTTGGATAACAGGTAATTGGGCCAGAGAATGAAAGTACCTTTAGGAAAAGAAAGGATTCATGACAGAAGGGTATCATTTACATTTCTTTTGACAGTATTGACCTTATTCCCTCTGTCATTTGTTAGCCCAGGAGACTAGTTTTAAGGGGAAATTTGTATTTGAAGTTTATCCTTTATTCTGATTGTTGGGAAGGGAAGCCTTGTACCTATTTATGGTGCTGGAGATTCTAACTTCCCTGTGGTGTGTTTCCTGTTAGAAGAGAAGGGAGAAGTATTTTTCTCCCTTCGTATTTTTCTCAGCCAGTTTGGCTGAGAAAGGAAATTGTGGGAGATGTTGATTGGCCTTACTGCATGCTAGAGCTTTGAGTGTCAGGCCAAGGAATTTGAATTTTATACTGTAGGTAATAGGAAAGCATCTGAGGGTTTTCTTTTTTTTTTAATTTGAGTAAGGGAGAGACTTTTTTCTTTTTTTTTAAATTGTTGTTCAATGACAGTTATCTCCATTCCCCACACCCCTGCCCTGTTACTCTCCCATTGCCCTACCCTCCACATCAAACATTCAGTCCTCCTTCCCTGTTTTTTTCCATGTGTCCTTTATACATGGAGGACTTGACCCTTCCCCTTCTTTCCCCTGTTATCCTCTTCCCCCCTCCCCTCTGGTTACTGCCAGTTTGTTCTTTATTTCCATGTCTCTGGTTCCATTTTGCTCATTTGTTTGTTTTGTTGATTAGGTTCCACTTATAGGTGAGATCATATGATATTTGTCTTTCACTGCCTAGCTGATTTCACTTAGCATAATGCTCTCCAGTTCCACCCATGCTGTCATGAAGGGTAGGGATTCTTCTTTCTTTCTGCTGTGTAGTGTTCCATTGTGTAAATGTACCACAGTTTTTTGATCCATTCATTTACTGATGGGCACTTAGTTTGTTTCTAGCACTTGGCAATTGTAAATCATGCTGCTGTGAACATTGTGGTGCATAGGTTCTTTTGAATTGGTGTTTCAGGGTTCTTAGGGTATAATCCCAGCAGTGGAATTGCTGAGTCAAAAGGCAGATCCATTTTTAGTTTTCTGAGGAAATTCCATAGTGTTTTCCACAGTGGCTGCACCAGTCTGCATTCTCACCAACAGTGCACTAGGGTTCCCTTTTCTCTACAACCTCACCAGCAGTTGTTTGTTGATTTGCTTATGATGGTCATCCTTACCGGTGTGAGGTCATATCTCATTGTGGTTTTGATTTGCATCTCTCTAATGCTAGTGATGCTGAGCATCCTTTCACATGTCTCTGGGCCCTCTGTATATCCTACTTGGAGAAGTGTCTGTTTGAGTCCTTTGCCCATTTTTTAATTGGGTTGTTTGTCTTTCTGGGATGGAGCCATGTGAGTTCTTTATATATTTTGGTGTTCAAACCCTTGGAGGTATCATTGGCAAATATATTTTCCCATACAGTTGGTTCTGAGAAAGGGAGAGAGACTGAAAGTTGATGTTAGCATATAGGATCGCTTGGAGGGAAAAGTTCTTTAGTGTGGTTCCCTGATTTCTTTTCGGCAGTCTTTTTTCTTCCATTCTTTTTGGATGTGTTTATTTAGCATTTGCAAGTATTCTTTGAAAATTAATCAATACATTTTAAATCCGCATAGAATGCTACCACACTTTTAAAAAGACTGGTATTAATTTTAAAAATCAATACATTTTTAATCAATACATTAAGACTGTCCTTAAAATAAGTCTGATCTTGAAATAATCTTTAAAGTTATTTCACAACTTTGGTCTATTCTGTTCTCTAATTTATATGAAGCAATTTTGGATTAAAAAAATAGTTTTGTTTTCCCTAGTTTATGAATACAAAAGCAGTTTGATTTTAAAGGCAAGAAGGCCTAATCCAGAATGTTTTGTGGGAGTAGTTTGGCTGTGTGGACTGGAGGCCAGCATTTTTTTTTTTAATTATCCTTCAGCTTTATGGGCCTTTATATTATCTCTCATAACTGATATACAAAAGACTGAAGTTTGCCAACCTTGTGCCTGAGAGTACTCTAAATCAGTTTCAGATCTGTCACTACCTCCTCATGCTCAGTTGACACAGGCAGGTGCTCAGACTACTGTAAGCTTTTGCACTGATCTCCCATCCTCCAGTCCATCTCCCACCATATTTGCAGGCTTGTTTTGACTTGCAAATCTGATTGTGTGGTTCCCAAAGAAAAATCACAATTTTTTTGCATGGTATATGGGTTTTGTCATGAGGTGGTACTGTTCATACCTCCACTTCATCTCTTGCCTTTGCCTACTCTACTTTATCCTCCAGCATTACTGAGTTAATTTGTTATTCCCTGAACATCTCAATCTATTTTGCCTTTGTTTGAATGTCTGGAAAATTCCTTCACTTCTTAGACATCTCAGCTCAAGTGCTACTTCCCTTTGGAATCCTTCTCTGATTCACCCAGCATAGATGTCTTTTCTTCTATATTCGTATTTTTCTGTGTGTATGTGTGTGTGTGTGTGTGTGTGTGTGTGTGAGAGAGAGAGAGAGAGAGAGAGAGAATATTACATAGGTAGATGGCACTTTGATACTGTTTTGTTTGCATGTTCATCTTCCCTCTGAAAGTGAGCCCCTCTTGATGGTAGGAGCTGTCTTTCCATCTCTGCATCTTCAGTGCTTATCACTATATATGTTAAGTTGTGAGCATACCCATAGTAATTCAAGAAACACTGAGTAATTATGTGCCAGGTTCTCTGCCAAGAAACTGAGGATTCAACTGAGAAACACAACTGATATATAATTTTTTTAAGAGAGGGGAAAGGAGGGAGAAGGGGAGGGAAACATCAATGTGTAGTTGCCTCTCACCTGCTCCTCGCTGGGGACCTGGCCTGCAACCCAGGCATGTGCTCTGACTGGGAATCAAACCAGCGACTGTTTGGTTCATAAGCTGGTGCTCAATCCATTGAGCTACACCACCCAGGGCATGGTCTCTATTCTTATGATGTTTATAATATAGTGGGAGATACAGACAAGTAAATATGGATATAGTGCTGTGATGGATAAGTATTGGTGCACATAGGAACACAAAGGGGCACTCAGTCCTGCCCAGTAGCCCTATATACTTCCCTGGTATGTTTGCTTTTCTAAAATATGCATTATAAGTTTTCTCTTCATTCTCTTCTGTATTTCCTCTTTTCCTTTATTCTCAGTTGGTGATCTTGCTTTATTTTTTCACTACAAAAGGAGACAGGAATCCTGTCATCTTCCCACCAAGGCATCAGGAGCCCACCTGCACTTGTACCCCGACTCTTTGATTGACTTCCCATGGTGGTGGATGATGTGTCCCTTTCTGATCAAAGGCCAGCTCCTTCCCTTGTACAGAGGATCCAGTCTTCTTGCTCACTCAGGACTCCGCTTCTGCAGTCATCCTTCCATTCTGTGTCATGAATTTCTCTATATTTTTGTCATACAAACATGCTTTAATATTGTTTAATTAAAAAAAATTTCATTTGACCCCAGGTTCCCCTCCTGCTCTCATTCCATTTTTTTTTCTCCATCACAGAATCCTAGAAAGAATAGTTTAGTTCCCATTTCTTATTTTCCATTCATTCCTTAACCACCTCTTGGTGGTGGTCTTTTTCCATCAAGTGAATCTACTCTTGCCAGATCTAACGGCCATCTACCTCCCCTTACCTGAATGCTCGGCAACGTTTAACATTTAACATGGTTGGCTGCTTCCCTCTGTGTGGAGTAGTTTCTTCTCGAAGCTGTTACTGAGCTACACTCATCTTGTTCCTTCTCACCACATTGGTCTTTCCTTCCTACTGTTTGTGCTGAGTGCTTCTCTGTTGGAGGGCATGGTTCTTGACACCTTCTGTTCTCTGTATTTTGTTTTATAGGTGAGTTTAAATAATGTCTGTATAACTAAAACTACCACATTTATATTTTTAGTTCTGACCTGTTCCCTGAATTTTAAATCAGTAAATCCAGTTGCCCACTTGACATCTCTACTTGATGTCTGATATGCAACTCCAGACTAAACCTTCCCACCCAGCCACCCCACTCTTGCCTTTGATCACTGTAGTCTGGTCGGTCTTACCTGTTATACCAAGAACATGTCAGGATTGTTCTTGCCCCCTGGAATGCTCTGTCCTCAGATCTTTGCATGGTTGGCTCCTGTCTTTCAAATTTTGGTCTTAAATAGCACCTTCTTGGAGAGGTTTGTGACCGCCAGATAAAAAAATAAATATCCAGTAGCTTCCCAGTCACTCTGTTGTTACCTTGTTTTATTTTCTCCGTAGCACAAATTACTACATGATATTTCCTTGTTTATTTGTTTATTTATTTATTATGTTTCTCCCCACTGGAGTGTAAGTTCCTTGAGCCAGACTCTTAATTTATCTGGTTCTGTGTCATATTCTTAGCACCTGGGACAATGTGTGACATAATAGATGTTCATTTAATATTTTGCTGAATGAATAAACATTTAAGGAACATTTAGGTTAAATTAAAACAGCTAAAGTGGAGAAGCTGCCTCAGGAGGTGAAAGTTTCCAACTTTGGAAGTGGTCAGGGAAAGACTAAAGGATCATTGGCGGAGGAGCTTTTCAAACAGGCATGCTTTGCCTTTCGTGTACCCCAGTGCATCTGAGGGGTATGACATACATCTCTGTAGACTCTAGAAGGTTTGTGATTCTCCACTGGGCGTGGCTTATCAGATTCTGGAATGGTGAGCATACTTTGGAAAGATTCCCAGGTGATTTATGCAGCCTCCCCCCAGCACACCCACCCCTAACACTTCTTGGGTGTTTTATGCCTAAATGGAGTGTTGATCTTTATGACCTCTAGGGTCCTTTGCATCTCAGCAGGACAATGACCCGTGTTGTCATCACAGTAACTGGGGTTAGTGTGATCATGATAATGATAACACATCAGTTTATTGTTTTACTACCTCCTTGGGGAGCTTCTCTTTTTGTTCCCTCATATTTCCTGAAACTCTACCCTGTCCTCCACCCCAATGGCCACTATTAATAGTTTGCTGTCTATTTCTCCAGATTTTCCTTGAGTCCAACTAAAATAAATGAGAAAATAATTCTCTCTATCTCCACACAAACACACATTTTTAAAATGGAGGGATATAGAATGGAATAGTTCTTTTGCTTTGTTCTATGTAATATGTTTTGGATATCTTTACTGTCAGCCTAGAGACATTTAAATCATTTTTTTGAATGATTGCATGGATTTCATGCCTGTATGTAGTATAATTTATTTAAATGATCCCCTTGATGACATTTGAACTTTTTCATTTTTTTTCAACTTTACAAACATGCTGTTAAAATGTCATTGTTCTGTAAGATAAATTCCTTAGTCAAAAGGTACAAACATTTTAAATGTTAATAGATATTGCTTGATGCTGTCTAAAATGCATGAACCAGTCTGTACTCCATCCACAGCAGGATTTTAATCGGTTGCCTTTGCTTCAGTCAGTGTCCTTCATATTTTGAAGCATCCAGGTGCTTGAAAACATCAGTGGTGCTCTACAGTGTTTACTTGTTTATGCATAATGAAAACTGTTGCCATGGTGATGGGCTGTGGAGAAGTCTGGTAGTTTTCTGACCTTTGGGTTAGATCTCAGTTTGTTTCCTTTTCTTGGTTAGTGATAGGATGGATGCTAACCTGGAGCAAATTTGGGTTTTCTTACACAGTGTGATTGTATATCATGGGGATAAAGATGTTGTGGGAAAGTGTATTCCGGAAGCACACTTTTCATGTCAAACAGTGACTGTGGCTAATGTATCAGGTTGGAATCTTTGAGGGTGTAGAATGTGGCAGTGGAGAGTTCTCTGTCAAAGTTAATGTAGCTTAGGTCTTTTGCCTTTTTTTTTGAGATGAGCAGCTGCTAGAACTTTGAGATCAAAGATTTTCTACAACTGTGAGGTCCTTACAGATAAGCATCTTATATTTATAATCTCTGCTATCTAATATATACAGTCTGTTGAAAATTAGTTTTATAACTTTGTGTCATTCAATCCAGCCCCTTTGTTACTGCCTCAACTACTTCCCAATCTAGGCATAATTATAAACTTAGGTGATAAGGGAGTTCTAAAGATTTTTTTGGTTAGATATATAATTTTTCTGAGTAAGCCTTTGGTTTTTAGCCTAACTCTGAGAGGTTGTATTTTTTCCTTTAACAAAGAAGAGCGTAAAACTTAAGTGCACACCGTGATGAGTTTTAAACTCACCTGTCTAGTTGCCGCCCAGATCACGATCCAGAGAATGACCAGCACCCCAGAGGCCTGTACCTCACTCCTTGCTAGTCACCCCTCCTGTGAAAAATAGCCACTCTCCTGGCTTGGCCTTTGTTACCATGGGTTGGTTTCGCCTCATTTTACATTTAGGTCAGTGTAATTCCACAGCATCTATTTTTCGTGCCTGGATTGTGTTGTTCAACATTATATTTGTGGAATTCATCCATGTTGTGCAAATCAGCAAACAAAAAACAATTCTTTTGTTTTTTGTTTGCTGATTCCCCCCCACCCCCAGTTTTGTGACATACATCTCTGTATAAGTTTAAGGCATACAACAGGATGGTCTTATTTACATATATTGTGAAAGGGTTACCACAACAGGTTCAGTTAACATTTATCTGCTCATATAGATACAATAAAAAGATAAAAAAGGGAAAAAATTTTCTTCTTGTGATTAGAACTCATGGGATTTACTTGCTGAACAACTTTGCTGTATATCATGTAACAGTGTTAGAATAATCACTGTGCTATACATTACATTCCTACCACGTCTTTATTTTATAATTGGAAGTCTACCTTTTAACCACCTTCCTCCATTTCCCCTGCCCCCTTCATTGCTGTATAGTGTTCTGTTGTGCACATGCTGTAACTTGTCCCTGTTATTGTTGATAGATATTTACACTCTTTCCAGTTTGGGGCTGTCATGGGTTTCATTCCTGTGCATGCCTTTGATGCGTTTATGCATCATTGCTGTTAGAGTGGAATTGCTGCGTCATAGGGTGTGTGTGAGTTGATTAATAGTCATATTTGTTTTATACTTCTAGATAATAACTTTTGTGTTTTGCTTCTTACACAGTTTGTCTGAGAATACAGATCAACCCACAGAACAAAGCGGATTTCCAAGGCATCTCCCCGGAGCGAGCCTTTGCTGATTTTCTCTTTGCCAGCACCATCCTGCACCTTGTTGTCATGAACTTCGTTGGCTGACTCATTCCTGCTTGCTTAATTGAGGAGTGGGAGACTATTAGAATGTAAGTAGGGATCATAGCCTTTGCCCTACCATGTTGATTTTAGAAATGGAGATTGTATGGGCCTGGTTTTGATTGTGGTTGGCAAGGTTCCCATATTGCTGATAAGACGTTTGCAGAATTTTTCATCAGTCTGTGAAGTATGCATTAATATCATCATGATTCTATCATCATGATTCATCAGTGCTGCTGCTCTTGGTCATTGACTTCTCTTCTCACTGTTCTGCAAATCATTAAGATAACAGAAAATGGGAGTTTGCCTGTAGCTAATACATAAATTTCTGCACCAGTAGCTCCATGAAAATAACTCTGAGATCTTGAAAGAGACAAAAATTGTAGGTTTTGCTTTTAGATTTGCCTTGTAATTTTTTCTGATTTTGATCTTTGATGGCTTTAAATATTGGGCCATTGTCTCCATAGTACCTAGCACAGTGCTTACACCTGACAGATGTCCAGTATGTGCTGAATGAATGACTGTGGCCATTTGCTAATATGTGTGCTAAAGGAGAAATAAAAGGGGAAATTGGATGAGCTTGGGAGAACACTTTAGAATATAGTATGAGATGCCAGTTGTTTTATTTGCTATTATTTTCCTTTTTTAGCAGTTCTCTTTTCTTTTTCTTTTTTTTAAGAATAAATTTAAAAAATTCTCATCTGAGGATATATGTTTATTGATTTTTGGAGAGAGAGGAAGGGGGTGGGGAAGAGGGAGAGATGAGAGAGAGAGAGAGAGAGAGAGAGAGAGGGAGAGAGAGAGAGAGAGAGGAACACCGATGTGAGAAACATCAATCGGTTGCCTCCCATATGCACACAACCTTTTGGTGTATGGGATAATGCTCCAACCACCTAAGCCACTTGGCCAGGGCAGAGCTCTTTTTTTCTAAATAAACTCTGAAACAGATTCTCTGTATATAAAACAGCATTGGAGCTGAAGTTGTTTTCATTGACAAGTTGAAGAGTCCTCTTCGCTTGGACTCTCCTTTGTGTGTGGTGTGCCTTCCTCTCTATCCCACCCTTCCAAGCAGAATCTGAAAGCTCTAAGAAGTGTATCACTACTTTCCAAACTCTATATAGCGACACTTATTTTATATATAAGAATACAGAGGTCCAGCCCTGGCTGGTGTAGCTCAGTGGATTGAGTGCCAGCCTGTGAACCAAAGGGTCGCTGGTTCAATTCCCAGTCAGGGCACATGCGTGGGTTGCAGGCCAGGACCCCAGTTGGGACGCACGAGAGGCAACCACACATTGATGTTTCCCTCCCTCTCTTTCTCCATCCCTTCCCCTCTCTCTAAAAGTACATAAATAAAATCTTTAAAAAAAGGAAAAAGAAAGAAAACAGAGGTCCAGAGTAACCCAGTGGCCTTCCCTGGCCATAGCTAATTGCAGATCAGTGCCTTAGTCCAGTGGTGCTCTTGGTCTAGTGCTATGCCAGCACCCCACGTAGCTTACTGATGAATGAGTGCACTCTTTGCTTTTTCACTACAAAATTTAGTGTTGTTGTATTTACTGGGTGGTAGAGAAAAGAGAACCTTAGGAAATGTTATGATATTGGAGGGAAGAATATTCCAGGATCAACTTTTTTCTGTTACCAGAAAAGCTGTCATTTCTATGCTGATCAGAAATCCAACACAAAAGTTAAAGGAGCCGTGTACTAGTTTGGTCAAAAAGTCCTTGTTTTGTCAAATGAAAGACACAGTTTTCATTTTTACCAGTAATTTTATTGATTTGGATATTTTGAGTGTGTTGGCTATCTCCTGTGTGGTATAACATTGATTGTTCTCAGTTAATGTTTTGATTTGATCGCTATCAACTTCAGCTGGTCTACCTGACTGTGGAGCATCGTCCAGCAAGAAATTCCAGTATGAAACTTCGCATACCACTTTTGGCATGTCTGATCAGTCACGGCACCTTCTGCATACACTGCACAAATCTTTTTTTGCATTGCAGTTGCATTTTTATCTTTCTTGAAATAATAAAGCATAACATGCTGAAAATGTTGCATATTTTCTTTCATCTTCAATATTAAAATGGCTACACAAAAATTCACCAATTTTGATAAGTTTCTTTTAAATGCATGCTGATGTGACGGCTGTGACAATACAATTTAATGCAGTTGTTTTGAATGAAGTTAAAGGCAATTAAGCACTAGTGGAGCTATCTTATGGAAAAAACCATAGACTTTTTGGCCAACCCAATACTAAATGAATGCAATAATGTGACAATGACTGTACTTCAATTTCTGACATGAATTAATTAGTTACTTATATCACATAGATTCTTTTCATTATTGATTATTACCTCAAAAACATTTCTGTTTCATTTTTGATAGTGGTAAGGTGACAGGTTGTTCATTGCACTGAAAAAGTTTGGGAACCAGTTTTTATACTATTTTTTTTCCTACTGTTCTAATACAGTTTAACTCTTTGGAGAACTAATCAGGACTTGAGTTGTCCCTCCCCATTCTGCCATTTCTATGTGCCAGTTGATGCCTTATTATTGGAAATACAAAGAAGAGTAAAATGTGGCTCCTGCGGGGAGAAGGCATGACACACAGCAGTTAAATACAGCATCGTTCAAGCCACACTAAAGACAGGAACCAAGTGCTGTGGGAGTTGAGAGGGAGCCTCCCACCATGTGGAAGCAGTAGACAGGGTGTCTGACCAATGATAACTCTTCGAGTGCAGCTGGAAAGCTTACCCACCATCATTGACCTTGCACCTATAAACATCATGAGTAGCTCCTGGGCTTCCTGGTAGTAATTTTGCTGGGAAGGTCTTAAGTCTTCTGATTGCCTTACTCTAGAGTTCTCAAGTTATTTTTTTCTAGATGAGTCATGTGTATGCTTAAGAAAGCGACTGCATAAACATTTCAGGGATGTTTTCTGGGCTCAGAGAGATATCAAATCATGGAGAATTATTTCCTAGGGCTGTTGTGATTGGAGGAGGACTCTGCTGCAGAGAGCTTAGTATTTCAAAATTATGACAAAACAGAGACCAAAAAAAGCAGGCTTAGCAGAAACTGTGACTGCAGACCATTCTAACGACCTAGAGCCACCTGTTCAGTTGGGAATTATGGGCCCAAGGGCCAGCAGTCTTTCAATCCCAGACTGCAGTGTTAGATCATTTATAAAGAGTTCGTTCTCCCTGGGGACTGCTCACAAGGGGCCTTTATTTGACTTCTACTTTCCTGTTCTTAATTTTTAACATACATCTATTTACCCTTTTAATGTGCCTGTAGCTCAGTTCTGTGTGCAGTGAAACACAACACTTAAAGCAGTTTCCAAGTGAATTCTCAATATTTACACCAACTCAGAAGGTGAAACGAAACAGACTGAACATTGCCCATACTTGCTAGGCACATGGCGAGTTGGATATAAAAGAACAAACACCTGGAGCATGCTGCTCTTGCATGAGTTTGGGGGGAACATTTGAAACCAGCAGATTTGAATATTTAAAAATGTACACACTTTCTATAGTTATTTTCTGTTTTGTTTTTCCATATGTCTTCATGCAGTTCTTTAAAAAAAGAAAAGTATGACAGACTCTCTCAGGTGTTCCAAAGGGAATGGAAGAAAAGAGCGACATAGTTTGGGTCACAGTCTGGGAAGGAAGTTTCCTGAACTCGGGCCCTGGATCAGAGGGTGAAGGGCAGCGGGCACACAGGTCAGACCTGAGCCTGGAAGTGCACTCAGCCGACAGAGATAGTTTGGCTAATGCTGGTGTTAAAACCTTGTTCTTGTTGCTTTGTTTTTACAATGGAGGCCATCCTCCCACAGGTCTTTAAAAATTCAGTGTTTAATCCTGGATGGAGCAAGGGAGCCACAGTGCTGGGAGAACATAACTCTTACAAGCAGTACTATTTATAAATATGTAATTACCATTGACTTTTCAAATTAATCAAAGTATAATAATCTACAGAATTATTTTAGGAAGAGTCTAACTATTCTTTAGGTAACACTGCCACCTAGCGGATTGTACGTATCATGTGCTGAGAGACTGTACTTCAAAGCCTGAGAGAAGTTGAGTTTGGGGAGGAAGCCCCTAAAATCTTTGTGATAAAGCCTACTTTTTTCCAGTCACAGGAGGGCAGCAGAGGTCCAAGTGGGTTTAGATGCTGGGCGGGGATTTCTTTACATTCTGGCCAGAAGTGGGCAGTGTTGAGTTGGGTTCAGAGGGCATGGAGCCTTTCAGTGGCCCAAGGCTCTTGTCACAAAGGAAAGACCTTGCTCAAGGCTCACTTCCTTCCCTTGTCTTGTCAGTTCCCGAGCTCCATTTTGGTTTGTTCTAGGACTGTTTTTGCTTTCAACATGACCTCCTTTAATTTTTTGGGGGGGGAGAGATTTAAAAAATTTCATTTTCTCTTTGACATTTCATCATATAGTGAATTAGGTTCAGCCCCCAAATAAGTTCTCAAAAAGGGAACTTTCTACTGGAACATAATCAACAAAAGAAAAAAGCAAATAAAATATAACCAGAGTCAGTGAAATTAAGAACAGTCTAACAATAGGCAGAGGATGGGGGGAGGGGACAGTGGGGAGAAGGGTTTTCAGGAACTACTATAAAGGACACATGGACAAAACCAAGGGGGACCGGTGGAAGCAAGGGAGGGAAGTGGGTTTGGAGGGGGTTGGGGAGAGGGGTTGGGAGAAAATACAGCTGTAATTGAACAACAATAATGATTTAAATTAAAATGAAAAGAATACATTAAAAAGGAAACTATTCTAAATTTGTAGAACATATTTTGAGCTATACACAGTATGATCTTCAACCCCTTTTTTCCTCAGAGGGCAAGATTAATCCTTTAGGTGTTATTCTTAAAACCTTGAATGTGCTTACTGTATTTACTAAAAAAAACACACTAATTGATGGCTCTCTAATTGGTGGTGACTCTCTAATTAGCGACTGCTTTGTATTTGATCCATTTAAAGCTACCAGTGAGAGGGAGAGAATATTGAGTAGATTTGTGTTTATGAAGTTCATTGTTGCTCTGGCTCCCCATCTTACTTTCTCCATTTTTACAACTTGATGATTTGTACTCCAAGTCAACTTCGGCCGCATGTTTCACAGGCGCCTCTTCTGGGGCTCTCAGGGGTGCATGGTGCATGTCTCTAATGCTGCACTTACCATGTTGTTATGAAACTTGATTCACTTCCCTGTCTCACCCACTAAAGGTTGGGACTTCAGGGCTTAGCACTGGCTAGCAGTCACAGTGCATGTTTGTTGAATAAGTGTATGCAGAATAAATCATTTTTAACTGCAAGAAAATGCTATATAAAATAGCTGGATTATTAGTTATGTGGATGCTAAGACATGTGGAAAGTGCTATGGAAGAAAGAAGCCAAGGAAAAAATAAACATGAGACTAGGTCGGAAGATGCGCATTGTGGAGTGGACAAATAAGCTTGTCCCTCACCCCGGTTTCCCTTTCTGCACAGTTAGGGGATTGGCCTGGATGTTCATCAGTTTCTCGCAGCTGTTCAGGCCTCTGATTACTAGCATTCATGATAGTTCCCATTGTGTTTGAGGAGGATTGGACTATTTGTGTAGATCCTCAGTTGGGCTTTGCTCTTTTTTTTTTTTCCTCTTTCTTCAGTTGTTGGCTTCTGGCCATATTATCAAATTCCCATCAGCTATTTGGAGGAAAGTGAAAATGTGCCTGTCTGTATAATAAAATGTGCAGTGTTTATGCAAGGCCACCTTTTACGACATTAGACAGTGTTTGTGGACTGCATTATAGTTATCACCAGGCTGGCAGGACCAGCATCCATTCCACGCGCACTTCATGCACAGCCCATGCCCCGTGCGACCCCCACGGCCCAGCCTCGGACGCAGGCAGACAGGCCGCCTCCCCGTTTACATGTGAGGTCGTTAAACTGCGGTGAAATTGAACTCGACTTGTCTAGGCCCTGGAACTAGTAAGTGACTGACTGGGGACTTAACAGACATTTTGACTCAAAAGTTTTATTTTCCTTGTCTGTTATGTTTAGAGACTTTTGGGTAATGTGTACATACTGTTACAAGGTTTTTGTTAAAAATTCTTAACAACTTCTTTACAAATGGGAAAAACAGGAGAGGGTGATAGGAAAGGGTGAAGTCGTGCTGTGTCAGATGTTTCTGCCAAGTCGGTTGTCTCTGCTGTGACCCAGGAGAAAGCCAAGAGAACTGACTCTATCCAGAGAGGGCGACCCTGGACCTTCTGCTGTGTGGAAATGTTCAAAGTCTGCTCATGTGCTTATGAACATTTGAAATGAAGCTAGTGATGGAGGAATTGAATTCTGAATTCTTCTTACTTTTAACTAAGTTTAAGTAGTCGCCTGTGGCTAGTGGCCGTGAGGTTGGACAGATCTGTAAGATGAGAGGGTGAGATGAGCTGATCTCCAAAGCTCCTTTCATTTTTAGAAGTGTGCGACTGTGCCTTCTGAAATTGTAGTGATTGAAATTGAGCTCTGAACCTAGAATTTCCACAGAATGATCTTTGATTCACATTTCATCTAATTTCAGTTTTAATTGGGTGACCAGATGGATTTGAAGGAAAATCAGTATTTGAATATATCTGCTCGGTGCTAGTGTCTGAATAGAGATGGTGCTGGAGTGGAATACAGATTCCAAACAGAAGTGACCCTGTCTGGCATTATCTTTTGTATCTGTACAGGGAGTAATCATTTTTAACAGTTCTTTGTGTAGTGCCTTGCTTTCTTTTAAGATGATTAGAATAGACTGATCAGTGGTGCTGTCTTTTCTGCGTGAGTGAAACAGACGAAGTCGTGCTAACTTTTCTCAGTAGGCTTCTTCCATTTTGAATGTCTTTATATCAGAGGAGGAAACCTTTATCTCTTGGTTAGCAGTGGAAACAATTCTTTTGAGTTGTCGAGTAGTCCAATTTTACTGAGCTAACATTTCAAAGAATCCTAGAATCTGTGCTTTTAGCATACTGCCTGGTAAACACATTTTTGCCTTAAAAGAAGGGAGCAGATCTTTGGAAATAGAATCTTCTGAAAACCACTATCAAAGAGACAAGTCACTTTTGCCTTCTAGATGGACCAGCTCTAATATCTTAGATTTAAGCATTTTAATATCATAGAATCTCAAAACTTGACATTTGTACTAAACTAGGATTTCTTTTATAATTGTGTGTCAAAGCTCTTCTGTGAAATGGCCCTGTTCTCCAGGCCTCTCACACCTTGGCCATTAGAACTGGTGTCATAGTCATTCATAGTGTGTTGCTTTAAGAATTTGGTGGAGTGAAAGGTGAGTTTTAATAGGTCTGTTTGTTCTTGTTTGGCATTGTGGGTACATTTTGTTCCCTGTTTTTGTTCTCTATACATTTCTCACAATTCCACTGATGTGGGAATGTTCTGCAATTATGTAGCATTTCTCTAAATATCATTGTTAGTGAAATGAAAGCACTCTGGCTAGAAGTCTAAGGTCTTTCTTTTTAAGCTCTGATACTAAAATTCCAGATCAGAACCAAAACACAAAATAAGGTGGTGCCCTTTCACCTACTGGGGTAGCCTCGCTCTTCTGAAAGGTGGTGTTTCCCAGCCTTTTTCAAGTCATGACATACAGAAGATTACAGTATTTTTATGGCTTGCTGCAGGAAGATTGGCTCTATGACTGGAGACTTTGGAGCCCCTGGTGCCAGGGGGCTCCTTTCTGACTGCACCCGCATCGGAGCCCCGCTGTCCTGGAGGCACTAGAAAGGAAGCCCAGGTTTGCTGGGCAGGGCCCACCTCACGGCTTCCAGGTCCCAACCTCAAGTCTGGCAGCCGTGTGGACACTTCTGGGCGTTGCTGTCCACATTCTTTCCCAAGATAAACTTATCTTTAAGGGGAAAAAATATTTCTTCTGTATTTCCTTTGTTAAATCTGAGATTGGGAATTTTTCTTTACTTTTCTGTCTTGAATTCCTTCTTCTTCCATCCCCCACCCGCCCACCCCTCCAAACTGGAATTTAGTGCTTTATTACCTTTCTAGACCCAGAGAAGTTCTTTAGGCTAAAGTGCTGCCTCCTCATCTCTAGGTGTTGGGCCGAGAGGACAGAGGGACTTACATAAAGGCTTGAAGCTGATTGATTCTAGAGTGGAGTTAGAACTCCTATCGGCCGATTCCTAATCAGCTTCACCTTGGTGTGCTGGGAATTCAGATTTGAGTATTAATTTTTATGGGTTATTGTATAAAATGTGTAGTGAAAAATATTTGCTTATTCTGGTTCTAGCCTGGCTTAAATATTGCTTAGGCTTTTGGGGGTACTGTTTGTATCATACGACATTTTAAAAAACCTTGGATGTCTCCTCTTACCTTCCCACTTCTTTCTTTTAGGTTCACTTTTTGATTTCCCCTGGAGAAGAGCTCTGACATGGCAGCCTGCTGGACACGTGGATATTCTTCAGATTTACACTCACTGCCGGCTCTGACTCGGTGTGCTGGTGGGGAGCTTGCCAGCGAAGCTCCCTCACTTCCGGGTCAGGACGACTTTGTAACGAGCATCTACTTACTGACCTCCCTCTCACTGTGTGATCTTTCTGCCTTCCAAATTAAACTCTGTGCCACTCCTTTCTATGCCTCTGGCTCTGTGTTGTTGTTATTGTTGTTTTTATTCTTTATCAGTACCATAATCTTTTATTCCTTCTATCCTTTGTGCAGAGTTCTTTAGAGTTGATAACTTGCAGCTGTGAATTTTACTCCACATTTTCATTAAGTGTATTAGAAGTTAATGACAATGACAAAGACAGTGCTCACTGCTTTGTCCTTTTCCTGGACCTGGTAATCCTATACTAATCTTTCAGTTGTGACAGGTAGTTCCCTTCTAGGACACAGTGCTTTCCTGGAACTGTGTCATTAAGCACTTTGTTAGAAACTGAACTGTTTGCTTCCACATTTATAATTTATAGCTGTTTTGATATACTTTGTGGTGAAAGGTGATAAATGAGGTTTGTCCAGAAGGTATCCAGCCATGCAATATGAAAAATAGAGACATTTATTGAAGAAGATATAAGAAACACTGTAGATAGGACAGTGATGCCTCAGTCCCCTTCAAAGTAAGCACCTTGGGACCTCACACAGTTCTCCCAATTGCCATCAGCTGCGCTGTCATATTCTCCTGAATCTCATCGACAGTCTGAAATCTCTTTCCTTTCAAAGGTGATTTTAGTTTTGGGAAAAGCCAGAAGTCACGGAGTGCTAAATCTGGGCTGTAGGAGGGCTGAGTCACCTGGGTGACTTGATGTTTTGCAAAAAACTCTGCTGTAGACGTGATGCATGAGCGGGCATGTTGTCATGGTGAAGCTGCCAATCACCAGTTGCCCATAGCTGTGGCCTTCTGAATCATCCACATAGTTTCTGCAGAGGAATGTTCAGGCTTAACATAAAACCTGATAGAGATTCATTGCTCTACTTGCTCAGTCATCTTGAATGTGACAGCCACACAGTACCCAAGCTCACTCAACAATATCCACCACCCCCACTGACTAGTTCAGTGAAGTTGTCATTGTTCATGCTTGCACATTCCAGTCTACTCTCCTTGGTTGCCAGGTTACATCGATATCACGCAAACTGTGCTCATTATGTTAACAATGGCTGGACTCTCTGGACATCCCTCTATGTATCTCTTAGGCAATGTGAGCAGAGTACAAGAGGGGGGTTTGTTTATATGCTTATTTATAGGATACGGTACTCTCTAAACTACTTTCACAAATATTCTCTCATTTTATTCTTGTGATTGATTATCTCAGGGGTTCCAGTCCTCATTAGATGGAGAAATAGAAGCTGAGGTTTGTAACTTGCTCAAGATCAGAGCCGACCCAGCGTGGGTGGAACAATAGGTCTGCTGGCTAAAGCCTGGGCGTATTTCCATGTGTCTTACAACACCCCGTTTCCATCTTGGGTGCTGCATAGAAGGGATAAGCAAGCCGTGTTGAGAATGCCACTCTTTAAACAGCTGAATGCTGAGCTGACCGCTGAGATGAGGAGTTGTGCCTCAGAGGTTTTCCAGCATGGCTGCACAGTAGAATCCTTTGGGGAGTGAAAAATGAATCTCATTGCCCAGGTCACACCCCAGAGCAAGTGAATAAACATCATTGGGGGCGGCAGTTGTACTTTGCACAGCTACCTAGGTGATTCTCATGTGCAGCCAAGTTGGGGAAGCACTGATCTGCATTCTTGCTACCCCAAATGTAGTCCACTGACCAGTGGTACTTATGCCACCTAGGAACTTGGTGGAAAAGGAGACTCAAGCCCTACCCCCGACTCTACTGAAGCAGAATCTTTGTTTTAACATGGTCCCTGGGGAATTCACGTGAGTATTAAGGTTTAGGAAGCTCTGGTCTAGGGCAGTGGTTCTCAGATTTTGGTGCATCTCACAATTCCGTGGGAACTTGGCAAAAAGCTTGGGCTTCCATGTTTATGAGCTCTCCATGTAACTGGCATGCAGCTATGTTTGAGAACAGCTCTAGATCAGGAGTGTGTAAACTTTTCTCCTGTACACGGGCATGCTTCCATTCAGTAAAACTATTTACAAGAGCAGACTGTTGGTCACTGGGCCCTGGTTTGCCCTTCTCAGGGGTACTAGTTCCCTAAAATCGTGATTGGTCCAGATATATACAGATATATAGCTTTATATACGGATATATAGCTTTATTAGGAGGCTTCTGGATTATTTTTAGTCTACATTGATAAACAGGTATTTTGAATGAAAGAGAGATGGGGCAGAGGCTAAATTCCCATTTATTAAATTAGCTCTTGTGTCCGAGGTGAGCTGCCCAAGCCAGGTCCCGGCAGTCAGCAGGAAGCCTTCAGCTGTGCTGTGTCCTTTCACCACTTGCAACAGGGCAGAAGCTTCCAGACTGCTTTTGGAGCCTTGAGTTTAATTTAGTTAAAAGCTCATTACAAGTGACTATTTTAAAGGTTTCTGTTGACTTGCTCAGTGGTTCTCAAGTCTATATACAAAAGAACTAGCTGTGGAACTATTCGAGCTTAAAAAACATGTGTTACCCTCCACCCCTTGCCCTCTGATTCTTAGGTGTTTTCTTTTAGCTGAAGTAGCTAAAGACATGGAAGATGAGAGGCACTGAACCAGGGTAGGCAATCTGGTCACTAGAGGCCTCTCCCTGTCTCTGGGCCTTTCTTAATGCCACTGGCTGCGTTGTAATAATGCCGCTCTGTGGGCCTTCCACATGGGTGCTCAACACGGCATGTTTGAGTACAATGAGCGAGAGAGTGAGGTATGCCTTAGCATTTCCTGTTGCCTGTAGCTCAACACATTTATGGGCAGGTTTATTTTTATTTTCTGTGCTCTTTTGTGGGGCCGGAAGCCATGTGTTACAAGCACTGTGTGTATGTAGTCTCTCTCGGCCATTCTTTGTGGTGGGGGCAAGCCCAGCCCTCAGCACCTCCTGCCCACACATTTCCTGTCTCCATCACATGGAAACTATCTCCCGTGTTTTCTTCTCTTAGCAGCCTATACCTTTGGCCTCTTTAACCACATCTTTTCATCTTTGTGCTTCAAAACACTTTTGTTATGATGGTTGGGAAATACTTGGGGAGCTCCCAGAGACCTGCTCCCCAAGACCTGGTTTTAGAGGCTCAGTAAGCTAGCACCGACCGATTACCAGAGGCCGGGGGGCTTGTATGAACTCTGTGTGACCCTGCTGCCCTCCCAGCTTAGTGGCTTGCAGCTTTGGGCATCTAGACAGAAGTTTCAGTGTGGTATAACTTTATACATACCTTTCATTTTTAAAAATTTAACAGATACAAAACATTGGTTTCTCCTGTGGGGGAAAACAACACTTCCCTGAACAGAGATTTTAGATGTGGAAATGAGAATAAAGGAGGAGGAAGCTTGTGAAGAACTATATAAAACAATATGTATTTGCTTACACTGAATTCATAGGTGGGTTCAAGCTCATGGCAAAACTTAGGTCAATCGGATAGAAAAGAGGTATTTTTTAAGCCACCAGAGAGGCAGCCTGGTGTTGCAGAAAGTACTTGCTTGATCTGAAGATGTTGGTTTAAGGGCCTGTTCTGCCACTTACTTTGTCTGTTGACCTTTTGTTCTGTCTCTAAAATTTTGCAAATAATTAGACACCTAGGCACTGTGCCCTATAGTGCAGGGGAAATCAAAGATAAGACAGCCCTTGCTGTCCAGGGCTAGTGTGCCAACAATGACCGCCTGACGAGGTATTAAGCATCCTCTGTTTCTTGTGTTCCCTCTAATCCCATGAGGTTGGGTGGTGGCATTCTTTCTCCGATGAGGAAATAGAAACTCAGTTTGCAAGTGTTAGGATTTCAATTTGATTTCGCTCTGATTCCAAAGCATTTGGATGAAGCTTTGAATGCAATAAAATAATAAGCATGGGGATAATAATACTTCACACATTTGTCCCAGGAAAATGTAAGTGGAAGTACCCTGTTAACGTAAGTGCTCTGGTGTACCAGCGCTCTCACAGCAGTCGTCAAGAGTCGCTGAGTGTTCCAGGTTTATTCTCCCTCAAAGCACATCCAGTTCTACTGGCTTTCAGGGAAGGGCTCCGGTGGCCAGTGGCAGGCCTCCCCCTTTCCTGGAGAAGAGAGACTCCCTAGGACCCCCCACTAGGGTCTGCTGTTCGGCTCTGCTTGGCCTTACAAAATCCCTGGGATGAACAATTTTGTTTTTAACTTTATTAACGAAATGTTCACACACACACACACACACACACACACACACACACACACATGAGGTGGGTAAAATAAACGTCCAGATATCCAACACTCAGCTTTACCAGTTATCAATATTTTACCCCAATCTAGTTGCAGTGTATTAGTAAAAGAAATCTCTAGTGAAAGAGCTCCTTTCTACTACACCATTTAGTTGAAAAATAGTTGAGTGCCTCTTCTGTACCAGGTACTAGAGATACAGAGGTGATCAGAATGAATATTGTGCCTCCCTTTTCTGAGCCTTAAATTCTAGTTGGGATGAGAGTCAAATTAGCATGGGTAGAATCCTGTTGTAGATGGAAATAAACAGTGTGACAAATGATCTTAAATGGGGATGGGGAGGGAGCTGCTTAGACACAGTAGTCAGGAAAGACCTCTCTGAGAGGCGACGTTTAGGTTGCAGTCTGACAGCTGAGAAAGAGCTGTGGGACCCAGCAGTGGGAGTGTGTCTAATGTTACTTAACTGCCTCTCATGCCAGATGATTGAGTAGTGGAGTTTGTATGTGTAAATAGTATTGCCCCATGAGACTAGTAACATTACCAGCTTTTATTGGGGAGTGCTTCCTAATGTTCAGTGCTCTGTTTTGTCATTCTAATCTGACCCTAAAGGGCGGTCAAGTAGGTGTAGTCACAGAAGAGGCAAGGGAGAATATCAGACATAGGTCTTGGGGCTATCCTGAGACCCCAGTCTGTTCATGCTCCCACTTCTGTGATGGCTGCTGGAACCATCTGGGACTTGGGTGTCCACGGTGCTTGGTGGAAAACTAGGGGATCTGAGTCCAGTGCTAATGTGAGCCTAGTTCACTGTGAGCCAAGCAAACCTGTTCTTTCATTTGTGAAAGTGGGGGATAATCTCTGCCTACTGCTTA